TGCCTGGGTCTGGAAGATCCCCTGGAGGAGGGCATGGCAATCCGCTTTGATATTCTTACCTGGAGAATCCCCATGGACAGAGGAGTCTGGTGGGCTGCAGTCCATGGGATTGCAAAGAGTCAGACATGACTAAAGCGACTTAGCATGCACACATGCCAGCACTAGAGACTTTGGGATCTCTTTTGTCAGGAGACCAATAAGTAAGAAAGGGAATACTAACCAACAGAAGAAAAAGGGTTGATTTTACATGGTGGGAACAGGGAGAAAGGGCACAGAACACATGATCCATATGGGTGTCTCTCATTTGTGCCACTCACAATTTTAACTGTGAGTGGACACATCCAGCAACAATGATCCAAAAAGGGTGATTATCTTGGGTTCAAGATCCTCAGAAATGAAGGTTTGAGTCACCATACCAAGTAACCTCCAAGACTTCAAGAGATGATATCAGAGGACGAGGGAAATTTAGAATAGGAAGTGAAGGTGTGTTAGTCAGCTTTGCCTCAGGGCTCAGTGGTCAGCCACTCAGTTGTGTCTGACTCTTTGTGGCCCTTATCTTGATTCCTGAGCCTCTATATTGTTACCACTGGGACACAATCTGTTCATGGGATTTCCTAAGCAAGAACACTGGAGCAGGTCACCATTTCCTACCCCAGGCTGTCTTCTCAACCTAGGGATCAAACCCATAACTCTTTCGTCTCCTGCATTAGCAGGAAGATCCTTTATCACTAGTGCCACCTGAATAGTGAAGTGAGGAGGGATAAATCAGGAGTTGGATTAACATATGCATACTGACTCATTGGAAAAGACCCTGATGCTGGGAAAGAATGAAGGCAGGAGGAGAAGGGGACGACAGAGGATGAGATGGTTGGATGGCATCACCACCTCTATGGACATGAGTTTGAGCAAGTTCTGTGAGTTGGTGATGGGCAGGAAGGCCTGACGTGTTGCAGTCCATGGGGTCGCAAAGAGTCAGACAAGACTGAGTGACTGAACTGAACTGACTGATATGCATACTACTAGATATAAAATAGATAACCAATAGATAACCTTGTGCTACTGTATAGCACAAGGAATTATACTCAATATTTTGTAATAACCTACAAGGGAAAAGAATATGAAAAAGAATAGACATAGACATATAATTGAATCACTTTGCTGTACACCGGAAAGGAACACAATATTGTAAACCAACTATCTGTGTGTGTCAGTCACTCTGTCGTGTCCATTTCTTTGTGACCTCATGGACTGTAAGCCACCAGGTTCCTCTGTCCATGGGATTCTCCAGGCAAGAATACTGGAGTGGGTTGTCATTTCTTTTTCCAGGGAATTTTCCTGACCCAAGGATCAAACCCAGGTCTTCCAAATTGCAGGCATATTCCTTACTGTCTAAGCCACCAGGGAAGCAGTCCCCCCCACCAAAAAAAAAACAGCTATATTTCAATTTTTAAAAGTTGAAAATTAAAAAAAACAACAACAAATGTGTGCCTATTAAAATAGCTTTTTCAGTTAAAAAAAAAATGAAAAGATCATGAAGGAGGGAAGAATAAATATTACTTGTAGACCCAAGATCAACCATAGCAACTGAGGTGCACACAGTTTGTCCCACTAAGCTCCCACTTCCAAATTTTCTTTCAGCAAAAGAGGTCCACAAAAATCACAGGGATTACATTTTTGTGGCATAAGACATGGATTGCAGCAGCCCAGAAGGTTTCCACTCAGATCTCCTTCCGGAGAACTTGCTGCAGGAAGCATAGTTGCCTAACATCTTTAACCACCAACCCATTAGGAAAATGAGTGAGCATGATGTGGTTATAAGTGCGAGTCTATTTCTCCTCTCCCAGCGGGCAGTCTTTGTTTGTGTGTTGCTAGTTGCCCTAGTGAAGACTTTATTATAACATTGGCGTGTACTGAGATTCTTCCTACTACCCACCCTTCCAACTTTCCTTTCATGAGCATCAGACGTGAATCATGACCTGAAGGTTCACCTCACCTACTCCTGCTCCCTCTTGTTTTATTGCTCACAAGCATTCTTTCTTATCACCATCAATCTTCAACAAGTGATTCCACTTTGCATCTGTTTTAGAAAACCTGAGCCGGAACAATCACCTTGGCATGTTACAGTGAATCCTCATGAAATTTTGTTTTGCTTTTATTGAGTTTATGGACTGATTTTAAGAGACATGCCATAGTTATACTATTGACTTTTTCTATCCAGAAAAAAATGATCTGTCTCCATTGGCTTAAATCTTCTTTTATGACCATCAACAAAGTTTTATCATTTTTTTTCACGTAGGATTTGTAGGATTTTCATATTTCTTTTTAGGTTTATCTTTAACCTTTCACTAGTTTTGTCACTATTGTAACAGGGATTTGGCTTCCTGATAGGTAACTGGCCATTTATTTCAGTGCATTATCATGGTCTGTCTACTTGGCTCCATCAGATTGAACTCCTTGAGGGCAGAGACCGGGTCTGTCTTATTCGCTAGTGTATCACAACTGCTGAGTATGCTACTTGACAGGTAACTGGAGTCTTACATTCTTTAGCTTGACTAGTCACATGATAAAATAATAGCTGAAGTACTATTCCGTGCTACCAAATACTATTGTTCCACCAATAAAAGTGAAATGTAGTGCCCATGTTTTCACCCACCTTTGGAACAAATCCTTTTGTTACAGGGAGAATTGAGTGCTAGCTGAGCTAAGTCCAGGCCATATGCTCTACAAGGCATCTATCTTTGTAAGTATAGAAACAGTTCAGAGCCTTCTTGTCTCCTGTGACAAGGTGGCTGCCCTGAATGATGAAGCTTGAATGCCTGCCCACCTTCACTTCCCTAACATTTTATTGCAGCCTGAAATTCCCTTTGTCAAGCACTGCCCCTTATCTTCATGACCATATTCTGTTCATCCTTGAAGATTCAAATTATCACTGTCATGTTAACCTTGAGAAGATTTTTTGGTCCTCTAAGCTTCAAGGAAGTGCTTACTTTTTGGAAAATACAGACAATTATGAAATGTATGCTTCTAATAAGGTAGGCTTCCCTGGGGGCTCAAACGGTAAAGAATCTGCCTGCAATGCAGGATACCTGGGATTCAATCCCTGGGTTGGGAAAATCATTGGAGAAGGGAATGGCAGCCCACTCCAGTATTCTTGCCTGGAGAATTCCATGGACAGAGGAGCCTGGCAGGCTATGGTCCATGGGGTCGCAGAGAGTCGGACATGACTGAGTGATGCTTATAATATATATATACTAGTTTGTATACGAGCTAAAAATGTAAATATATTCATAAATAAGGATAGTAGTAAGAATCCTGATACAATATATTTCACCATAATAATGGCTCCTGTTCACTGCATCACTTTCATGTGTTAGATTTTACATGTCATCTTGTGATTCTCACCATCTTTATATGATAGATGACATTCTATAAGTGGCAAGGCTGCATCTCCAAGAAGTTTAGCTACTTGCCCTAGATAATTCAGCTAATAAATTCCAGTGCTGAGAACCTAATCCAGGTTAGTCTACTCCTAAATCCTCAAATTCTTAAGGTACTCCTTTATACTGTCTCCAGTTGTTTAAAAGGCTAAATATATAATTGATTCCAGTGAGTGCAAAATAGCTATTCTGTCCTGTTCCACACTTTTTGGGTAATGAGTATTAGGGAATTCTTAATTATGTGTATCTGCCAGGGTTATATCTTGCTCAGTGCATTCATCATACAAGTTTATAATGTGAAATACATTAACAGGTTTTTTTTTCCATATACTGATTCCCAAATATGACCAGATTCTCAAGGATTTCATGACATTTGAAAAGCATTCACTGCAAAAGAAAGAAATAAGAACAAACAAAATAAAGCAACTTGGAGAAGAAAGTTTACTAAGAGAAGTTGTCTTTAATAACCATCGATCTATTAGAGAAGAACCTGAACCTCTGATACAGAAAGAGAAAGATATTTTTTTTTTACAAAAAAAGATAATATCAGGAGCTCTTGGAAATTAAAAATGTAACTGCAAAAAATAAATAAATATGAAGTAGAGCTAAAGTTGAGTGCTTCTTCTAGAAAGTAAAGCAAAAAAGACTAAAAAAATGTAAATAAGGAAGAAATATTTAAAAAATTGGAGGGCCAACCCAGAAGTTGTAGAACACCACAAAAAAATGGAGTAGAAGAAATGCTCAATGGAACTGGGAAGAAATGAGTGAGGAGGAGAAATGAGAAATGAGTCAACACCAAAGAATGGATGCTTTTGAACTGTGGTGTTGGAGGAGATGCTTGAGAGTCCCTTGGACTGCAAGGAGATCCAACCAGTCCATCCTAAAGACCAGTCCTGAATATTCATTGGAAGGACTGATGCTGAAGCTAATACTCCAATACTTTGGCCACCTGATGCGAAGAGCTAACGCATTTGAAAAGACCCTGATGCTGGGAAAGATTGAAGGCAGGAGGAGAAGGGGATGACAGAGGATGACATGGTTGGATGGCATCACCGACTGAATGGGCATGGATTTCGGTGGACTCTGGGAGTTGGTGATATACAGGGAGGCCTGGTGTGCTGCAGTCTATGGGGTCACAAAGAGTCAGACGCGTCTGAGCAACTGAGCTGAACTGAGTCAGGAAGACTTCTTGGAGCTGACATCTCCCATCCCTAGACTGGAAGAGTCTACCTAAATCTCCGCAGAGGGATGAAGGCACAGATATACGAAGGACATCATCATCATATCTCAGCACTCTGGCAGGCAGAACTCTAAGGTGGTCCCCAAAGATTCCCACTTCCTATGTAATTGCCCTCAACTAGGGATATGATGGATGTAAGTCTTGTGATTAGGCAATGTTATCTGCACAGTGGACATGAAAATAAGGAGCTTATCACAGTGGACCTGTTCTAACATGATCTAACACAAGTCCCTTCAAAGCAGAGTTTTCTCTGGCTGGTTGCAGAAGAAAGCGACAGAGACTGGAAGCACAAACTAATCTGATGCATTGCTGCTGTCCTCAAGATGAGAGAGAATGTGGGCAGCCACCAGCTTTCGGCAGCAAGAAAACAATCCTATCACAGCAAGGAACTGAAGTCCAAGAGTGAGTTTGAAAGAGATTTTTTGTTCACAGTCTCCAGACAAGGATTCAGGTAGACTGACACTTCAGTTTCAGCCTTGATGCCCTGAGCAGAGCACTAGGTTCATACCGTAGCAGACAAATGGCCTGCAGAACTCTGAACAAAAAAATAAGTGTTGTTTCAAGCCACAAGGTTTATGGTAATTTGTGATGCAGTGATGGAAAATGAATATAATAACTCTGAATTGAGGTAGATCTTACCAGCTTCCAAAGAGATGGGGGTGGAGGGGAATAATATGCACGATCAAGAATAGAGTAGAATGGATACATGTATATGTACAGTTGAGTCCCTTTGCTGTTCATCTGAAACTACCACAACATTGTTAATCAGCTATACCCCAATACAAAATAAAATGATTAAAGTCTGGAAAAAAGAATAGAATGGAACTGGGCCTTTCACCAATTATACTGAAATCTAGATGATATGGAACAGTGACTTTTCAATTCTGATGTCAGAATACTTCATCTACAGTATAATAAAACTATCAATCAAGTATGAGGTTGAAAAAACTATCATGGAATATCTCAAATACTTTTCATTCCATGCCTCTATTGTCAGGAAGCCAACAGAAAATGTGTTCTACCCAAACTGCACAGCGTAAGCCCAAGAAAAAGAATGATGGGATTCAGAAAACTGAGAATTCAGCATAAGAGAGGCCAAGATAATCCACAGGACTATGAGGACAGAAAAGGTGAAGTTGATAGCTGAATTGTAATTCTGGAGAGCAACTAGGTGAATTGGAGACAGGTTAAAAGGCTGTGTGAGAGATTCGTTCAACAAAGAAAAGATCGATAGACTATCTAAATGGATCAAACATTTTAAGAGATTTTTTTTTTTTACAACAGTGGCAGAATCTGGGACAGAATTACTAAGAACAACATGTTAAGTGTAAACAAACAGGCAAATCAAACAAAAGAATAACTTTAAGGAAAAGGATATAATCATAATATATATAGCAAAGTATATTCAACATAGTATATGTGGCACTCTTGACCCTTGGACTATAAAGAGATCAAAGCAGTCAATCGTAAAGGATATCAACCCTGAATATTCATTGGAAGGACTGATGCTGAAACTAAAGCTCCAATATTTTGGCCACCTAATGCGAAAAGACAACTCATTTCCCTAATGCTGGGAAAGAATGAAGGGAAGAGGACAAGGGGGCGACAGAGGATGAGATGGTTTGGATGGCATCATCAACTCAACGGACATAAGTCTGAGCAAACTCCAGGAGACAGTGAAGGACAGGGAAGCCTGGCATGCTGTAGTCCATGGGGTTGCACAGTCAGACACAACTTAGCAATTGAACAAAAACAGCAAAAATGAACTAAGACAAAGGATCATTTAGAAAGATGCATCCGATTCATGGTTTCAAAATAGCTGCCTCTGCAGAACGGATGACAGAAATAGGAGAGCTTTGTGACACCATTTTTTTTTCTGTAACGAGCCTCAGAGAACTATCTGTGTGCTCAGCCACTCAGTCGTGTCCGACTTTGTAACCCCATGGAACATAGCCTTCCATGCTACTCTGACCATAGAATTTTCCAGGCAAGAATTCTGGAGTGAATTGCCATTTTCTTCTCCAGGGGATCTTCCTGCTCCAAGGATCCAACCCCTGTCTCGTGCATTTGCAGGCAGATTCTTTACTTCTGTGCCTCACGGGAAGCCTTAGAGAATGTAAGACTTTGTAAATTAACTGCACTTTAAAATAAATTAAAATAAATTTTAAAAATTTAAAATAAATTTGATTTAAATAAATTTATTTTCATAAAATATTTTTAAATAAAATAAATTTAATTTAAAATAAATTTTAAAAATTGAAAATAAATAGCAGGACTTCCCTGATAGCTCAGTTGGTAAAGAATCTATCTGCAATGTAGGAGATCCCAGTTCAATTCCTGGGTCAGGAAGACCTGCTGGAACAGGGATAGGTTACCCAATCTAGTATTCTTGGGTTCCCTGGTGGCTCAGCTAATAAGACCTAGGTTGTATCCCTAGATTGGAAGATTTCCTGGAGAAGGGAAAGGCTACCCACTGCAGCATTCTGGTCTGGAGAATTCCTTGTACTATATAGTCCATGGGGTCAAAAAGAGTCGGACACAACTGAGCGACTTTCACTTCATTTAAAATAAATACAAAAACTAGATGAAAAAAAAAGGAAGGACTGGAGGTAAGGAGAGAGGAAGGGAAGGACAGGAGCCAGCTTGCACAGAGAAATTCCTTACTGATTTCATGTGGTCTCCTCCTGGGACTCTTGCTCCTGTGAACCAGGAGTTATATCCATAATCATAGGCTAGCAAACCCTGAATAGAGGTGAACCAAGACAAAACTCTTTTGGTTCCTCTTCCAATGCAGATTCTATTTTTTTTAAAAAAGAGTAATTGGGAAAATAGGGTTTGGGAGGCATATTCTTTGAAGCCATCATTTGCTTTAAAAAATGTTTGAGGGATTTTCCTGAAGGTCCAGTGATTAAGACTCCATAATTACTGGTGGAGAAACTAAGATCCCACATGATACTCAGCACAGCCACCCCCCCCCCAAAATCAAATAAATATTTGAGCAGAAACAAAAGTGAGAAAAATTTTCATCTTATAGGGGCAATGCCTCGCTAACATTCCGTGGGTTTTCTTTTGACCTGTTAACATGTAAAGCTCTCAGTGAACGTGATCTGAAAATGAGAAACTGGGGATTTTCTTGCCAGAATGTGTAATTTTCTAACGTGACGTCCCTGGCACGTATAATGAAGCTACACATGTAATGAAGCTGCCAGAGCCAAGGCAATGATATTTGCAGGATAACTCTAGATTTGACTAAAGAGGATTATGCAGAAAAGAAGAAAAATGAAGACAGTAGCCTGTGTATCAAGAAATCAGAGGAAAAACAGAGAAGGTTGCAAATGGCTTCTCCCTTCTGATCTACTTTTATTTCCTCCACAAATGGGAAAAGATCAGTCACACCTTATAAGACTGTGAAGACTAGGAATTTTGATCTAAAAGATCTAACACTGTGCCTGGTAGCCCTTAATAATGTCACACACACACACACTCATGTACACGCACATCAGGGAGGCCAGCAGAAGGGGAAAGGACAGGAAGTGGTCAGACCCTGCTCCAGTGACATCTTCCTGTCTCTTTCTCTCTGCTTCTATATCTCTTGAAATGTTACCTCTATTGCTTCTCACTGTTTCTGAATGTCCTCTTAAAATGTCACTGAAGTGCCAGTGGTATCACTGAAAAGAAATGTACAAGAGGTATTCCCTTTTTTGCAGGGTTCATGGTCCAGTAAGGAACACAGATTTGGAGGGAAAAAGGAATACACAGCATGATGGCTCTATTACAGCTAAGTACAGGGTAGAGCCAGCTGGCTAGAGGCCCTTCAAGTCAAGGTAAAACATGCAGGGTACTTCCAAGGGTGAGGGAGGTAAGAGGGAGACGACTATGTTTCCAAAACACACTGCTGGTATAAGCTGTAGTATATGTGAGTGGGCTTCCCTGCTAGCTCAGACTTTATTAAGAATCTGCCTGCAGTGCTGGAGACCAGGGTTCAATCCTTGGGTCAGAAAGTTCCCCTGGAGAGGGAATGGCAACCCGCTCCAGTATTCTTGCCTGGAGAATCCCCAAGGACAGAGGAGTCTGGCAGGTTACAGTCTATGGGGTCGCAAAGAGTTGGACACAGCTGAGCAAGTCAGCATAGCCCAGTGTAATAAAAAAACACCAAGTAACTTGTCTTTTGTATGGGAGGACCTGGAGGTTTCTGTATGAGTGGACTGAGGCAAGGAGTATCTGTGGAATTTTCTGAAAGGTGTGGGCCTACTAGGAGTTTGACAGGTACTTGTGGAAAGGAAAAGCATCCAGGCTCAGAATACTGGCTAAGTCGAGTCTTAGATTGTGGAGAGCTGAGAGTTGCCAGGGGAAGGGGAAAATGAAGCATTCTGCAAAGTATAACGATTCTGTGCAGAACCTGACTACAGCACAGGCACTGCCACACAGACTCAGAAACCATCCGGCTTTATGTAAAGGAAGCCAGCTCTTTGCCATTTCATTTGATAATGGCTTTCTACTAATGAAAGTTAAAGTGTTAGTTGCCCAGTTCTGTTCTCTTTGCAACCCCAGGACTATAGCCTGTCAGGCTCTTCTGTCCATGGGATTCTCCAGGCAAGAATACTAGAGTGGGTTGCCATGCCCTTCTCTAGGGGATTTTCCCAGCCCACGGATTGAACCTGGGTCTCCTGCATTGCAGGCAGATTTTTTACCATCAGAGCCAGCAGGGAAAATAGCGGGCCCTTTAAAGCAGAGATCTACTAACAATTTACAAAGAATTTTCACATTCAACTCTTCCCCATCCCAAGAGGATCTGTATTATTGTTTCCATTTTTACAGATAAGGAATGAGCTGCCCAGCTGCCATGCATCTGTAAGTGCCAAGTGAAAGCAGAATCCGTAGGTTGACTGAAGGGTCAGGACCCCTGGTGGCATGGTAGTACACCCTCAAAGTTTGCCACTTTTGGAAATGAGCGATTTTAAAGATGGTTCATGATAAGCTGTAAAAGGGGTGCTGTCAACATTCAAATGAGGGCAATCTCTCTTTAAATAACAGTGGTGCCTTCTGGGCATTATATTTTTTTTAAAAAACCCAGGTTTTAGGTCTACTTTTGTGACAAGAAGGAAATTCTAGGGGAAAAACAGACAAAAAATAATAATAATGGTAAGGTAAGATGGCATCCAGGAATGCAAAGTCAAGTGGGTCATGACTATGAACAAAGCTAGTGGAGGTGGTAGAATTCCAGTTGAGCTATTTCAAATCCTAAAAAATGATGCTGTGAAAGTGCTGCACTCAATATGCCAGCAAATTCAGCAGTGGCCAGAGGACTGGAAAATGTCAGCTTTTATTCCAGTCACAAAGAAAGGCAATGCCAAAGAATGCTCAAACTATCACACAATTGCATTCATCTCACATGCTAGCAA